TGACTTTTCCTGAAGGTCAGCACAGAGTACATAGAGAACATCGTTTCCATGATTTCTTAGTTGTGTATTTATTCTCCAACAGGTCCTCTATTGTTGTGTGTTGATTCATTGTCATGAAAACGTGTTTAGGTTTCCGTTGCCTAGCAGTGGCTGTCTTGGAGAAAACTGCATAATAAGGAGGATGAGATGGGCAAGGGATGTAGCATGAGTGTGGGAGAGATGAATGCATATAGGAAATTGGTGGGAAAGCCAAAACGAGACCATTAGGAAAACCAAGATGCAGGTGAGTGGACAGTATTAAAAAGGATCTTAAGGAGATAGAATTGGGTGGTATGGACTGGATTGATCTGGCTCATGATAGGGACCAGTGGAGGGCTCTTGTGAACATGGTAACGAACCTTCAGGTTGCATAAATTGCTGTAAAGTTCTTCAGTGGCTACATGATTGGCGGCTTCTCAAGAAGGGCTCAGCTCCATGAGATTTGTTAATTATGGTATGTGATAATGTTATAATTGTAAGATTCAATAGGCATATGCAGGTTTCTATCAAGACCTTTCCCTTGGTCAGCTAAATTATCAGCTGCTGCTGCAGTGCAGGTATTCCAGCCAAATGTGGTACCTTAGGAGTGTGTACCCCAGTGCTAGGCCTCTACAAGGCATGGATCACTAAGTAGCCACCGTGGAATAGTAGTTACCACTACCCATTGTAACAGTGACATGTACACTGTAGCTGTATATCTGGTAACTATTAAAGCTGTCAGATATTTCTGCTGGGCCAAATATGTACCAATGTTGGTGCACAGTGCTTAAAGTTCATATTTATGAGATTACTTTGCTGTCAGTGTGTTCTCCCCCTAACATTGCTAGGCAACGGCTTGGTAAACATGTTCTCATGGCAATGAATACACATGAAGCAAAATAACTTTGGATGTAGCATTTTCTGTGCTGTTCATGTCATATACTCAATATATAGTGAAAGGAATGTAGGCAATTAGTTCTTCAAAGAACTTCTTGTTATGATAATGTTGAAAAATGATAGTGGGGTACATTTACACCCTGCTAGGACATTCAGTTGTCAAGAGGCTCTCTTGCCCGAGGATTAGTTCGCAACCCTGACAACTTAGTGAGTCTTGTTAGGGCATTTTCTTTGCTGTAAATATAATTTGCATAACATTTCAGGTGTGGGCATAAGTACTACATCAGCAGGTGAGAAGGTAGACCACACCCAGGCCTCAGGTCTCAAGGGGCTCCTTTGTGCCTTCAGCCAATCCAGAATAAAGCATATATAATATAAATAAAATATTATTGGTTCTCTCAACATATCAGTACAGTCTAAAACATAATATACTCCCTAAAGAAGTGAATTTTATGGAAACTGCAGTAAGAAAGTGACTTCAAGGTAATCCAGTCTCGTACTGATTCAAAATTTTAGGCCTTATAACTTAACAATTCTGACACTTGCCACTCTCAGCACTGTATGCAGTAGCACTAACTGACAGTAAAGTAATTTTTAGGACTGGCACTGGATGGCATGAGGAGGTGTGAAGTGAAACTTTGTGTTGAGGCTCAAACTCTTCATCTACACCTGAGCCTCCAGTAACCTCACTACATTATTAGTGTAAAGAGTCCCTTTTCAGGAATTGGAACATAATATGATATTCATCCCAAACTGTTGGAGAGATTTTCTTTCATTATTCTTGTAATTTACACTTTCTTGAAGCACTTGGGTTTGCTCACTTTTCCTGATCCTCACACAAAATGTAGCATAAAGGTAATACAAATACAAAGGAACTGAGTTGCTATACTTTATTTGAAATCATTATGACATTATTACAGAGTATTTTGTTGAATTACCTTTTATTTATCTATGGGTAATACATAAACACAATATAAACGTGACCTTAACAAAGGCATCAGGGGAAGTCTGGCATGTATAATAAAAGAAAAATTATCCATACTCAGATTGAAGAACTAAATTTATTATTGTATTTGATAAAAGAGAGGCACTATGCTACAAGCCAGAAGGTCGCGGGTTCAAGTCCTGATGACATCATTAGATTTTTTTCAATTAACCTAACCCTTCCAGCCACACTATGGCCCTGGGGTTGACTCAGCCTCTAATAGAAACGAGTACCAGGAATTAATTAAATAATTTCCTGGGGACTAAAGCGCGGCCAGCACATAAGCCTGACAACCTTACCGCCATCTTTGAGCCGATTGTCTAGATAATGTGGGACCCTCAACATCTCACAACCCTATGGGCCTTCACGGCCTGGTACAGGGATAGCTTTATTTTTTTACTTTTATTTGATAAAAGAAAAAAAACACATAGAAAAACCCACAGGCAAGAATCAATGATTACCATATAAAATGCAAGCATCAGTTAAGCACGGTCCAGTCCAGTCATGTATGATCATGAATTCAGCAGACTCTGAATCTGTATGTCTTTAACAAAACTGTGACAATTGTTTTTGCATTACATTATTGACACAGAAGGTCATATTTTTTATTCAATCTTGATATATCATCCTTATTGAAAACAGTGATATTGACCATTTTATTATTTTAGTGCATGATCAAGAAGAAATTTACTATCTCGGTCACTCTGAACTTCAAGATCACAACTTTAACACAAGTCTATGGAGAGAAGTAGTCACACAGTTAAACACAAATTGTAAGTCATTTTATTCCGTAAAGTAATATCAGTATTAATAATATTCTGCATGAATAACTGTAGTTAATATACAAGGCAGTGAATGGAATATTATTAACATAAAATTTTAAAAGCTGGAATCAGAAGCATTCAAATTTTACTATTATACTGAACAATTATGGTATAAGACGTAATCTGTAAACATGTGTAGCTTCTGAACTTTACCTGTGAGCAGTCTGAGACTCAAACTTGGAAGCTGAAGAAAATTTTCATCAAAAAACTCTTCCAGCATACTGTCAGTACCACTGCCAAATTAAATTATGTGAACTAAAGTGCTTTTTATTGAAGCCTCAGGTAATTCAAAATGAGTTTCAGTAGATTTTGAAGACAGTCCAAATTCCTTGACCAAATCATCAAAAATGCATTGAACTGCTTGACGTGCTCTAGATAAGTGGTAGTTGAATATTCAGTTAGAAATATCAAGCTATATCACCAAATTTTGTTCAAAAGGAATTGCTTCCTCCCTGACTAAATAATATGGCATATCAATATCAGTGCTACCAATTATCTGTTGAGCAGGAATACTTAATTTATTTACACTAAACACTTTTCCAATGGAATATTAAAAAAAAAAAATGTTATCATTATCTCTACCATATCATCCTATGCCTAGCAAAATTAAATAGCAGTCTGCATCAGCTACTGTCAATAAAACTGCAGAATAACAAATTTATGGTTGTAAAATCTTTGGTGGAAATTTTATTTGGCAATGTTTTTCATAAATAATCCCAGTACAGTTTAGCATTTTACATACTTCATAGAATGATCTCATGTTATTAAAGCACGTCTCTGTTACAGTTACAGACACCTGTACAAATTGTAGTGACTTCCATACAGTGTTGTTGATTTCTGCAATTATTTCATGAATAGCAGATATTCTGACAAGAAAAATATTACTAAAGGATGTAAACATTTCACTTATATCTAAATACTTAAAAAGGTACAGACTTTTGTAAATAAATTCATAGATAGAAAATCTGTCACATTAAAAATTAATCAATAAATGACAAAATAGGACTTTATAGTATAAATATATATGATATTATCAAACATGACACGTGGTTATTTTCCAATTTCAGATGCAGATATCAGAATCAAATGGCAACATTTTCAGATAAATTATTTGAGAGAGAAGAGGAAGTTAAAGAATATATCACTAGGCTTAGCAGCAGCAGAAGAGTCATGAAAACTAACATTGCCATATTTTGACTTAAGAAGGTTCTTGGACTTTTTATTTAAAGCCCAGAGGAACATCTGGAAAGTACCTCCAGGTATCTTTACTTATTCTTCTACTGCAGATCAGCCTATTGATGAAATTGTGGATGAATCACTAATGCAAAAATCAAATATGATGCAAACATCATTACAAATCAGATAGCCACAAATCCTGTGCTTTCTGAGAAACGTTATAAAAGAATTACAAAATAGATTGACTTGATAAAAAAATTTCATAAACATTTAGACAAACTATCTGTAAAGTCTGATGATTACAAAGACCTGGACATTATGTTCTCAGAAAGCAAACTCCTGTCACACTTAAAAATTAGGAATTTAAGAGTGATGTACAAGTAATTAATCTCATAGAAAGCAAACCACATCCTATTTGCAAAATTATCATTACAATTGTACATCACTTGAATTCTACTTCTTCCTATCCTCCAAGTTCTTATTTAAAGGCTCCTAGCTCATTTCCAATAGCTCCTAGTAAAATTCAACCAGCAACTTCCTCAACTCAATTCTACATGAATAGTGCATAGGACCTCCCCCATTCATTTCATTCACAGCACCACTCTCAGATAATAACTTCATGATATAGTTAAATTAAAATTACAGAATATAAATAAAATTTGGGTATGTTTACTCTTATATTAACTTGTTATATTATATTTAAGCATCCTGTTGCACTATACACTTCTATATGTAATAATACAAATGCCGTCGTGAATGCCACAGGCTCCCTGTGTGTGCGTGTCGCTGCTCATCTTTAATATGTTTAGACATATAATTAACAGAATAATACATGAACGGTGCTGAAAACAAGAAATAGCTGCTGCAGCACATGTAGACACAGAGCAGGTATCCCTGCGATTTAAAACTTTAAATTTTGATTTTTAAATTTTAAATTGGAATTCTAAAATCAAATTGACGAGCGTATGTTGGCGAGATTTTAAACAAAACTGACAGGCTGGTGTTTTAGATTTTGGATTGTGTGCAGTGTGACAGCTACACAGTGAAAAATACACCTGATGATGGCCAGTTACAGCTGAAACCTGTAGTATAGAGGAAGAAAAGACAAAGAACTATGATACAACGAAATAAATTGTTGCATTCACAACAGCATTTGTATTATTACATATAGAAATTAACTTGTTACTCGAGAAATATTGCCAACTGTTCTTTAGGAGGAATAGCACATCTACAGTTCCTTTGGCATCATTTATGTAATATAAAGCTGCATTTTTCCATCATCCAATTGCTGGTCTGAGAAGTAAGCCTTGGCGTGGCAGAAGTGTAGTTCTATTAATCAGAGGTTTGTTTATTAATACTGGAAGAAGTCCAGGTGGATTTTGAGTTCTGGTTGTTGAAGTATGTATATTACTCTCTGTTACAGGAACCACAAAATTTTCCTGCATGTTGGAACTGGAATTTATCTCAGATTTCATTCTGTCCACACTATGAGGTTCTGTAGCATTCAACCATGCAACCTCACCTCCTATGACATTTCCTGATTTTCCAAGTGCTGCTTTGTTTAATACTCCATTTATAATTGTTCTGTTTCCAACTTTAATCTCACTTTGAGGAAGCACTGTTTTGTTCAAAAACGTATTTATTAATGCTTCATTACCAACCTGAATGCCATGCTTAGCTGGTAATGTCTCATTCAGAACTGCATATACAGTTGCTCCATTTCCAGCATTCTCAGGCAATGTACCGTTTATGACAGTACTGATAACTGCCCCATGTCCCATTCCTTGATGTAATGCAAGCTCAACAGCTTCTAGTGCATCTTCACTAAATTTTGTAATACCCCACAGTGCTTCACATGTTGCAGACTGAAGTCTTGGAAAAATGCCACCCCACAGTGCCATCTGGCAGAAGCGAAAGTTATCATGGAAGCGTGGTTTACTTGTAATTGTAAGAAAATTATTCTTATCTTCAGAGAAAGGAGGCCATGGAAGTTGTTCACCATTGTCTAATAATCTTGGTTCCCTGTATGAATGAGTAAATGGCAAGATGGAGTATAATCTATTCCAGAGATTTTGCATTTACAGAAGAGGAATGAAACTGATCTGAGATGTACCTAACTCATGAGGTCAGCGGAATAAATTGACTGGCCTTATAATATTTTCTTATTTTGTTTTTGTAACTATTTTGAAAGAAGTGTAAGCATTCTCAACATCAATTTTTCAAGTTAGTTTTCATAGTTACTGTTTAATTTCAGTTAAAAACTGATGTCTGAAATGTTACTTACCCAGTGCGAGCAAATTCTGCTATGAAGTTTGTGACGATATCCTGTACTTTTTGATCATTATGATCTGTCAGTGCCAAACCACTAAATGAAGTGTTGCCATCTAAGGGTTCCGGGTCAAAAATGAATGGTAAGTCATCTCCATGACTGATTCCTGTAAACCAATAGGTAAATATGACACATAAAATTGTCTTTTTCAGTAATCTTTTGTATGACAGAATCCTTCATTTTTACTTTTCCACCCTCTTCAATGTCTAGTTTTAAGCTAAACCTGAAGATATGTTATAGTGCTTAGTAATTTATTTAATTTAAGGGAAAATACTCAGAGTAGAAGAAAACCAGCAAAAGTTATGAACTACAACAAACTTGTAAGATTTGAGGTTTTCACAGCGGTGGCTATGAAGAAAGCAGTCTTCTGGGATGTGGCACTGTGTAGATGTGGTGTTAACCCTCGGCTGAACATCAGCCAGCCTGAAGATAAACCGGGCTCAGTTGCCTTCCTGCCCTATGTTGGGACTATATTCAACCGTAGGCCGCACCATAGCTCAAGCAGTTAGTCGCTGACTTCCCACTGCAGCAGCCTGGCTTCGATCCCGGGTCCGGTCAAGTGGGATTTGTGGTGGACAAATCACCCTCACCTATCATCTGGGGCTGGTACAATAGACCAGAAGTGGCCGCAGTACAAGGGACTTAGTTCCACCCCACTAGCAATAAAAAAAAAAGAATAATATTCAACTGTATCAGCAGAGTGCTATCCTGGCACAACATCAAATCAGTGGGTCTGCCTCAAAACAAATTATCTAGTTTCCTCTGGCTGATCAAAGATAGCCTGGGACTAAGGACACAGGGTGTATACAGTAACCCATGCGAGTGCAGCAAGGTCTATATTGGGCAGATGAGCCATTCTGTGGACACAAGGTTGAAGGAACATCAGCGGCACATCCGTCTCGAACCTCCGGTCAAGTAGCTGTAGCTGAATACAGCATCGATTTTGGACACCGCATTCAGCTTCAGAATACCTCCATCCTCACTACCAAGACCTGTTATATGGATCGCATCATTAGGGAGGCCATTGAGATTGAACTCTATCCCAACAATATGAACAGAGAGGTGGGGTTTTGTCTCAGCAAGTCACTGAAGCCTCTCATCTGCTCCCTCAACAAACCCCCGGGACATGACACCAGATCCACAAGGCCATGTAAGTCCATGACGGACTTGCATAGCAACCCCCCAGCTTAAGGGTTAATGCCCTCCCATTAACCTTGCCTTTCTCCCCTGACACAATATCCTATATCTGCTCTAGCCTTGCTATGGCTCCCCAGACCCTTCCCCTCTCCCTCGCCACTGATTTCCCATGTAGACTTGTCCCTTCCTTTCCTGCTCATATAGCTGAGTTTATTTCCGATATTAGTCTGCTTGCACCTGCTCTCACTGTTTCTTCGTTTGCGGATTTTCTTATTTTTCCCTTCTACCCTAAAGATGGAGGCGATACGTTCCTCCGAAACGTCAGTTAACACCACATCTACATGGCGCGACATCCCAGAAGACTGCTTTCTTCATTTACAACAAACTTATTTCATATTTATATCAAAGGAGGAATCTATCAGATTAGTGTATTATTTTATCAATTTTATCAATTATTTATAATATCGATCTTTATTTACCTAAACTTTATGAATGTTGATTCTCAAAATTTCTGACAGTGGTATGTAACATTCAGAATTACTGCATTTTTGGACTTCGCCCATTATCTTGTATTCCAGGAACTTCAGAACAAAACTTTTTGGAAACTGGATCTCTTTCCATCCTCAGGTGAGGTGGGAGACACGTACTCTGTTGAGTCCCTTAGAAAGAGCTAACCAGTGATTGAGGTTAGCTCTTTCTAAGGGGCACAACAGAGTAGGTGTCTCCCTGCTCACTTGAGGACAGAGAGATCCAGTTCCCTAAACGTCATGTTCCCTAGTTTTTAGAATACTGGCTGATGGACAAAGTACAAAAATCCAATAATTCTGACTGATGAAAGTTGCTTGGCATAAATATATATGATCGATCAAATAATTTTCAGATTGCACATTCTCCCCCCCCTCCCTCTCTCTCAACAAGTTCAGTGACTGCACCATTCACCATTACAGAAATCATTTGTAGTAACCCTGTGTTTAGAATTCAGCAACTACAGCCTGTAATAGTTCTTGAATCATCAAAGCTTCTCCTCTTCAGTGACAACTTGAATTTCATAAAAAGGAAGTTGCAGTGGGCCTTCTGGTTATCTCTGAAATATTTCCTGAAGGTCCTGACATACTCTGACATAATTCCACCTTTATTCTTAAGTTAGAAGATGTGTTAACACTGCAGCATTCCCTCACATGTCCACATCTCATGTCAAAATGCACTGACATGATCGAAGTGAAATTTCAACCTCATTAGCCAAGTTTTGGATGATGATTCATCTGTTTTTCATTAATAAATTCATTTGTCCCACATTTTCTTCTGTTTGCTCCTGAATGGACATCCTGAACACAGAATCCTTCAGTGATGTCACTCCACTTTTTCACTTGAAAACCAATCAAATGTTTGAATTCTCCTCATTGTTTCCTTTCCACAAGCAAGTATTAACCTCTCATAGGTTTCTGTAGCAGTTTACCTGGTTTGAAGCATAACTTAGTGCATGTATATGTGGGATGTCGATGTTCCAAGATACAACCATGTAAAACTATAACAGGTGTATATATTATTTCCAAATGTATGGGATGGCTGGGAAGTCGTTTTGATATATATATGTTATTCATAAGATTGCTGGCCCTGAAACGGGGCATTGTTCAACTGTATATTATTCACAAGATTGCTGGCCCTGAAAAGGGGCGCTGTTCAACCGTATGTTATTCACAAGATTGCTGGCCCTGAAAAGGGGCGCTGTTCAACCGTATGTTATTCACAAGATTGCTGGCCCTGAAAAGGGGCGCTGTTCAACCGTATGTTATTCACAAGATTGCTGGCCCTGAAAAGGGGCGCTGTTCAACCGTATGTTATTCACAAGATTGCTGGCCCTGAAAGGGACCGTTTGTTCCACTGTGCATGCGCTAGTAGAGTTAGCTGGACGTCCTTCTTTGTGTGTGCTGGCCAGGTTGGCTGATGACTGGCGCCATTCACAGGAGGTGCTCTTGCAGCAAAGTGCGTAGACCGATGAAGGCTAAACTGATGTGTATTCGTATGCAGAGCTGTGAATGTGTCTGCCATGTCAGAGGCCACATACTTATCCCATGCTTGCTCATGCCACCAGTAGGTGGCGCTAACCAATGGGCGTGGGAGATGCTATTCAAAAGTGAGAAATTGAGCGCTAACATTAAACCGACCCTCCACAAAGCTCTTATTAGATCTGTAATGAGTTACGCTAGTCCCGCCTGGGAGTTCGTGGCAGACCCTCATCTAGTGAAATTGCAGCACCTACAAAACATAGTTCTCCACACTACTGGCAATTTTCCAAGGCACACACCAGTCTTCGATTTTTACATGGCATTCAAAATCTCATACATATATGATTATATAACAAAATTATGCAGGCAACAAGCAGAAGTCATACAAAATCATGAAAATGAGAATGTTCGCAATATTGGTCAAGGCGAAGCCTGACAGAGAAAGTATAAGAGGCTTAAACTTGGCGGTGGTCAGGCATACGACCATTCAAGTGACTAGACTGCCGTGGTAGCAAATAATACTAGAAATAGGACATAATCTGCTGTACTGCGCCTGAACTGACAGAGGCCTTGTATATATTGTACACTGGAGTAGATATTAAGTATAGCCTTGTAAATAAGTGTACATACTGACAATAGACTTCATATCACCAACTACGACTGACAAATGACAGACCTGACCTCTCGTCAGAGAGGGCGCCCCACATGGACAGGACAGTAACTTTCATATAAAGAGAAACATCTGGTCATGAACCCCAGCTGGGGCTCAACACCAAGACAGACAGATGACTGACCATCAGTTGCAACATAACTTTGTCTTTGATATGCCCTGGGAGTAAGAATTGTCTGGTTGACTGAAGGGAAAGGAGCTGTCTGTCTGACCAAAGGATTAGTCTGTTAGACTGTGGGAGGTTCCCACATATACTTTCTTTGAAATCTGTGGCTTCCTGATAAAATGCAAAGTGTAGAGGGCACCAACACACAACCTTACTTCAAAAGGTGTTACTCCTGAATCAGAAAAGCTACAAAAACAATTTATCCAAAGAACAGCAAGCTTGTTGATTAAATTTATTCTACAAGTTAATCAGCAAGGCAGCAGTCCATTGGATAAATATTCCTAAACACACATACAAATCTTTGCAAAAGCTATGTTATATTTAAAAACCCTTATACATTAAAATAGTTGCAAGTTAGAATATACATAGAAGTTATACAGAGTATAAATATGTCATAGAAATAATTAAATTATATTTAAATGATAGAAGAGTTACATCATGTGCAACAGTGAATCTGAACCTGGAGCTGAGGAAGTTCAGTTTTGGTAAGCCTGCATCCCTCATTAGGTAAGTGACAGTCTTCAACAACTAACTTACCACCTTCCACACCATCATCTTGAACTAATGGGAATCCACTAAGGAACACCTTGCCTCCATGTTTATTCTGCTTCAGTATTTGCTCAAAGCTATAGAAAAATGTCTTCCCAACATGTTTAGACCATAATTTAGCCATGTGGAATGCTGGAAGGTTGAATAAAGCATCACCTGTTGCCTAAGAAATAAATTATGAAAGATTTAATTTTCAGTGCTCCATTGATCTGTCCACACACATAAGAGATCTGATTACAGCATTCTTGAAAGGATAATTACTCCAGATGACTTAGTCATTAAGACATTCATTCCAGATTTGTACCCATTTTCAAAACACATTCAAAACTCAGTTTTGGACACCGTTCTTAGCTATGTCTCTTTCTTCAGTTTACTTGTCTCCATGTTGCCATACCTCTGATGTTTTGGTGCACTTCTCATTTTGAAGAATAATTACTGGTAGCTAACGCTCTGACATAGAGAATGTGTGGCTTTTTATCTACCTCACTAGACAATTTTACAAAATATCATTGTGCCATGTATTTAATTACTTCAGGAGAATATGATGCCATGCCTCTTTAATTCTACTTGTCCAACATCTTTCGTGTTGTAATAGTTTAGTACCAATTAATTTCATGAAAATTCCTTTTACAAAAATTCTGAAGATTTTCATTCACAAATTCAAATTGCTCATAAAATCTCTGCAAGATGTTCATAATGCAGATGACAGGAGTCCACATAATGGCAGATGCTATACTGGAATCAAAGCATTGAAGTTGCCTTGACATTGGATCCAGCAGAACAAAACATGTTGGGACAGCCTTGAATGATTAAGTAACAGAGTTATGACATTAATATTTTACAACAGAATAGTGTATTTGTGTTATACCTCTGCAGTACATGTTGTTTCCCACAGTAAGAGAGTATAAGTTTTTGAACGTACTGCATATGATTAATGAAGTGCTAGAGACTTACCTCAACATAATTCTTTACAATGGCTCTAGTATCTTCTTGGTGGAATGGAAAGTATTTGGCTGCAACATTTTGTATAAGTTGATCAGTCCTATTGAATAACCTCCCAATTAGATCTGAAAAAGTAATGTATGATTCATTCATTCATTCAATCATTTATTCACTCATTCATCAATGGCTCTACGGCCCTCTGTTGGGCCCTGGCCTCTTCTTCAGTTTTATAATCTTTTTTACACAAATGGTAGGGCTCCTTGGATGAGTGATCAGCCCGTCTCAAGGCTGCTACCTACACACAGGACAACACAAACATAGAATAAATGTACACATAGACATCCATGCCTTTGAGTGGAATCTGAACCCACAATCCCAGTGTTTGAGCAAGCAAAGACAATTTATGCCTTAAATTGCGTGGCCACTGTGATCAGCAATGTATGATTCAGCCATGTAAATTTCTGGCCATCACATAACCCATATTGTCAGAATGAGTTACAGTAACAAAGTCTACAAGACATGTGACATAAAATGCATAGTGAATTACAGACCAAGACAATCATACATACCGGAATAATGGAACCAGAGGAGGTGTCCATTGCTAGGCAATGGCTCGGTAAACACGTTTCCGCGGCAACAGATATGCAAGCAACAATAGAGGAATTGTTTGGAATGATGTTTTCTGTTCAATCCATGCAATGTGGTATTAAAAGAAGGGAGCTTATTGGTGTTCAATTTGCAGTCAGGCTGTGAAGAGAAGACTTTACATGTGCTGTAGTACAGTGATATTTGGAGTGCATAATTCAGTGAGACTATTAAAGTTCCTGTATTAAATTCTGTTGCCAGGAATGGATAGTAGAGACTGTAATAGACTGAGGACAGTAGTGTGTGTGTAACAGTGAACTACAAAATGTGGAAATAATAATACTGTTATAGTTGTTTGTAGTACAACCTGTAAGTCATCAATAAATCCAATAATCCAAAACTCCATCTATAGTCAAATATACATGTGACAATATCTTAAAAATAATGTGTGTGTATATATATATATATATTGTAACATGTTTTGCTACTGAAGACAATGTTCAGATTGTTAATTGGTTTATTTAACAACCTGCAAGTCGTAGCTACAATTAATTATAACATGGTTGTGGGTTTACACAATTTACAAACCCTACATACTATTCTATTCACTCTATCCTCAGTAATCTTAACATATTTATAATGCGAGAGCTATACAAGTCTCTGTGCATTACACATTCCCAATATAACTGTACTACAGCACATATAAAGTCTTGAAATCACACCATAAATCTTCATTGGCTGCCTTCTCAGTTATCGTGCTCTATCACAGATTATCACATAAAATCTTCTAACCACACGTTTGGTTCTTCTTCCCGCGACTGCTGCTATATTTCAACTGACTTCTTAGGCATTCCAGTTCTCTTATAAACCTTCAGCTGGACAGCAGAAAACACACTTCGCTTCCCTGTTGCGTAAACGACATGTTTACAGGCATTGCTGGGGAACGCTGCCGAGAGTTGTTTATTGCTGTGTAGCAACCAGTGCGCTTCGGCTCGGCTCACTTCGGATCTACTCAGCATGGCACTGAAAAACACCGCTTTCCTTACTGTTGCATAACTTGGCAACCGACAATTTATCATGGGTGTGTCTTCATGTTAACTCATTCCACTTCCTGTTGTCCAGAAATGGTTAGACATGTCACAATATATATTGTACAAACTTGTATATACATTGCATATATTAATAATACCAAATCATTTCTTCATGGGATATGTGATCTATGCAGCATTATTCTGTATTGTGCTCCTTGTAAATTAGTTAAATTTAACAAAAACTGTCAGAACTGTTTTTGGAAAAATGCTATATCTATCCAATTTTCATGTAAATCATGTTTTTACCCAATTAGGTTCATATTCATGTGGTTCATATATGGGATGAAAATACTAAAGGTATAAAATATCCAAAATTATGAGGAAATTACTGAAATTTTAGGTGCTTTGGTAGTACAGTCAGGTTTCTTTAAAACTTTTGGTTCCAGATTCATTAGAAGGAGCCATACTAAGACATAACACACATACACACAGCATCAGCATCCGTGTTCAGACTTCTTCTAGATATAAAAATACAAAGAGAAACTTTTAAAATCTAAGAAGGTAATCTCAAGTCGTTTATTTTATTTTATTTCATTTCTCTTCACAAAAATGCAAGGGGCAGGCTACAATAGACCAATCGATGGCAGCCGTGCTGAGTGGACCCAGTTGGACTCCACCCCCCACTAAGTGAATTAAAAGAAAAATGGTTGATATGACAAATGCTGATAGAATGAAATAAGTATGGTACAATTAGGGCACTACTTTTAAGTTAAACATATTATCATGTGATCAAGTGACTATAGACGGGGTTTGGATTGGTAATCGGATTTACTTGACTCTCATGACTACAAGTAATTATAACCATTTCACTAAATCACACACTTTACAGTTCACTTCAGCACACACTAAGTGTTCACAGTCTGCTGTGTCTTCATCAGTTGTCTAGTAACAGCTTCCAACGACATAGCTTCCTTGGCTTCCATGCTCATGTCCTCACTGGCCAGCAACCGTCTCACAACTAACAACAGTGGGGGTTCCTCCTACAACTCTCACACCTCCATCAGGGGCAACAGTCTGTCTCCCAACTGCTAACTGCAGACTCACTATCCTTGACTTCTCTAGACTATCGGCTCAGACTGTTCATCTATTGTTGTATACATAACTATTGCTATGCTGATGTGGTATTTACTATGGCATAACCTAGTAATGGATGTCTCTTCTGGTTAAACTATTCTGGCTTTCAATGTACATGCTACAGTACTGAAGTCACAGAAAGAGTACAGATTTGTTCAATACCAAAATATTTATAATTACAAAATTATATTTCAAGCATCAGAAACCAGAGTTTGAATGAATAAAAAATTCAAAAGTAAAAGTTGCTGATTTTAATTATAGTACATTATTTTTCCCATTAGTCATTAAAACCCAGCCTCCTATCCAGCTGGTACCAGTGGCTCATTTCCCAGGAGTAAAGTGGTCAAGGCATGAGGCTAATTATGCAACTCCATCTAATGCCAAGGTTAAGAATATGTGGATCTATACCTCCACTTCCCCATATGTATTCATGGCATGGTGCCATGAACAACTTTACCTTTATTATAGTTGATGAAGAATGTACATTTTAATAATTTTATGAAAGACACACGATGGCAAGCAATGCAATAGCTTAGCGTAAATAAAGCACCTGAAGATGGCACAATGTTGCCGAAACATGTAGCGAAGTGAAATATTAAATTGAGTGCACTACAAGACGGCCATTATATACATATCATGGATGACTTTACCTTTACCTTACCAATCAGTGCAGTCTATTTTTCTTACATATTTACTTCTGTTCTTTTGCCTGTAAATGGTTCAAGAAAATTATGACCATATACCATCTGTTTGGCTAAGCCCATCTGCTCCCTTCCATTTCTGCCTTTTTGTGGTTGGTTCTATGGGAATGTTTACTCATAGTACAATATAAGCACTCCCACAACTTTTCACAGTGAATGTGTAATAACATAAAGAAGTACAGCAGCTAGAGCCTTTAGCAACTATATACAATATAAATTATTAGTTAATAAGATTATCAACACCCTATACACTTGCAAGCCATCATTGCAGTGAAAATAAATTAGAAGTAGAAATAAGGATGCAATACAAATATGGGACATACACGAAATTATTGTGGATCATCAATGTGGATTTCGATGTAACAGATCAACTACAGATCAGATTTTTGCATTCATCAGATATTGGAGAAAAAATGGGAGTACAGTGAGACAGTACATTAGCTATTTGTAGACTTCAAGGAAGCCTATGATTCAGTTAGGAGAAAAGTATTGTACAATATTCTGATAGAGTTTGGGATACCCATGAAACTAGTTAAGCTGATTAGAATGTGTTTAAATGAAACTTACAGTAAAATCCATATAGGTAAATATTTGTCTGATAAATTTCCTATCCAGAATAGTCTAAGACAAGGAGATGCTTTATCGCCATGGCTTTTCAACTTTGCTTTAGAATATGACATTAGGAAGGTCCAGGAAAAACAGATGGGACTGAAATTAAATGGGACACTTCAGCTGTTGGCCTATGCCGATGATGTGACTCTACTGTGTGATAATATAAATACCATAAAGATAAAAACACAAACTTCAATTGATGCAAGTAAGGAGGTTGGTCTAGAAGTAAACACAGAGAAAATTAAGTATATGTTACTATCTCGTGACCAAAATGCAGGGCAAAATCATGATATAATGATAGGAAACAGATGTTCTGAAAATGTGGCACAGTTCAGACATTTGGGAACGATGATCACAAATGAAAATCTGACTGAGGAGGAAATTAAGATGAGATTGACCTCGGGTAATGCTTGCTAGCATTCAGTCCAGAACCTTTTGTCTTCTCATCTGCTGTCCAAAAACATAAAAATTAGTATATGCAAAACTATAATTTTGCCTGTGGGTCTGTATGAGTGTGAAACTTGGTCTCTCACATTAAAGGAGGAACACAGACTGAGGGTGTTGAGGAAAATATTTGGACCGACAAGAGATGAAGTGACAGGAGGTTGGAGAAAATTGCATAATGAGGAACTTCATAACTTGTACTCTTCTCCAAGTATAATTTGAATGATCAAGTCAAGGAGGATGAGGTGGGCAGGGCTTGTAGCATAAATTGGAGAGATGAGGAATGCATATATTCATAGACTATTGGTGGGAAACCCAGAAGGAAGGAGACCATTGGGAAGACCAAGGCATAGGTGGGTGGGCAATATTAAAATGGATCTTAGAGAGATAGGATGGGATGGTATGGATTGGACTGATCTGGCTCAGGATAGCGGCCAGTGGTAATGAACCTTCGGGTTTGATAAAATGCTGGGAAATTCTTGAGTAGCTGCAGATTTGGCTTCTCCTCAAGAAGGGCTCAGCACCATATGCAAGTAAGTAAATACAAATATGGGTAATACTAAATAATATTGAGCATCAGTCTGAAAGGTTTACAGTGAAAGGAACTAGGTAACTAATTGCTGCTTACATGGGCCACAATTACCTATATTTGCAAATGAGATGTTCTAAATAAAAACTGAAAACCTGTTTAACCAGCATGACCCACCGGCCACTGCAGAACCTCTTTATGCCTCAATGGTCACAAAAACGTTTTTGTATAAATAAAAAAGGAGTCTGATTCTGAGGCCACTGCATTACTCTTTGTTCTTCAAATTACCATAAGTAGGTGCAAGGCTATGGATGTGGTGGGTGAAATGTAATGATAAAACATTATAAAAAAACATAATGTAGAAACAAATCACATGCTATTTCATTCCAACACAATTACCAAAGTTATGTATATTTTATATTAATGGTGCTTATATTCATAAAATAATGAATAAATATCTTACAATAGAAATAAGTGTGAACTCCCATTATTACAATGTTACTAACCTGATTTACTAATAATGCCACTCAAAAATTCATTCAGGAAACTTGATGAATTTCCAGAATTATCCAAAATCTCTTTCTGATATTTACCTGTAAAAATAAACAGAACAAATTCTTTAATCCATTTCATTTTAAGTGATGAAAATTTCGAGACAACCAACCCCAGTCACGGTAAAGATAGACCAAAAACAACTGGAGAATGTGAAATGTTTTAAATATGTGGGTAGCTTGTTAACAGATGATGGAAGGTGTACTTTTGAAATTAAATCTAGGATTGCCAAGGCAAAAGCTGCATTTAGCAAGAAGAAGAATCTTTTACCAGCAAATTTGACTTAAATTTGAGAAAGAAACTAGTGAAATGCTACATTTGGAGCATGGCTTTGTACGGGGCTGAAACTTGGACACTTAGGGCAGTAGATCAGAAACACCTGGAAAGCTTCAAAATGAGGTGTTGGAGAACGATGGAGAATATCAGTTGGCCCGCTTATGTGAGAAATGAAGAAGTGTTATTTAGAGTCAGTGAGCAGAGGAATATCCTACATGAAATAAGAAAATGGAAGGCTAATTGGGTTGGTCATATCTTACGCAGTAACTGCCTTCTAAAAGAAGTTATTGAAGGAAAGATAGAGGGGCAGATAGAAGTGACCAGAAGATAAGGAAGAAGATGTAAGAAGGTGCTGGATGACCTTGGGGACAGAAGAGGATATTCTCATTTGAAGGAGAAAGCTCTAGATCGCATTAAGTGGAGGAACTGTTTAGGAAGATACTGTGGACCTGTCGTCTGACAGATTACTGATGAATGAATGAACCACACTGGACTTTCTCATTGATACACACTAACATTCAACAACTATAAAAGCTTATTTATCCCACTGAAGCAAACTCATGGAACACTTTTATTGAACTATGTTTTGGACCAAGAAATGGCTCGTGCAATACCAGTAATTCATGTAAAATGAGCTTGAGGGGGCCTAAATCAATGACAAAGTGTTTGATTTTTCCTCAAGGTTGGCATGGAGAACTTAGAAAACATCATTTCTATGATTTCTCTGTTGTGTATTTATTCTCCAACAGGTCCTCTACTGTTTTGTGTTGATTCGTTGTCATGGAAAAGTGTTTAGGTTTCCGTTACCTAGCAGTGGCTGTCTTGGAGAAAACTGCATAATGAGGAGGATGAGTTGGGCAGGGAATGTAACACAAATGGGGAGAAGAGGAATGCATATAGGATATTGATGGAAAAGCCAGAAGGAAGGAGACCACTGGGAAGACCAAGGCATAGGTAGGTGGATAATATTAAAATGGATCTTAGAGACAGGAATGGGTAGTATGGACTTGATTGATCTGGCCCAGGATAGCGACCAGTGGAAAGCTCTTGTGAACATGGTAATAAACGTTCAGGTTCCATAAAATGTTGGGAATTTTTTGAGTAGCTGCGTGAAGGGCCGCTTCTCAAGAATGGCTTAGCTCCATGAAGTTAGTTATCAATATATTCTTAACAATATTTTCTTAACTGGCCAGTCTTCAGTTGCAATGTGTAGCAAAATAATACAGGTCACCTAATGACAGAAAAGGCCATAAATAAAATACTCAGCTACCACATTTTTAAACAGGCCACTCTGATCATATCATGAACTTAAAATGGCATATCTGTTCTTATGTGGAAGAAAAAGCAGCAGCATTTACCTTATGATTTATTATAGACACACTGTCTCTCCTATAAACACTAAACCATTAAAAATGTCCATATTTTCAGCAGTTTCATTCTCAATCTAGTTAACATTTGTCTTTCAAATTTTCTTTTAATATAGCTGGACACATTTAGAACAACCTGTCCTTCTTTGCTTCTTAGCAAATGTCTACTTGTATGTTTTACTGAACTGACATTAACAGTTCCCTAGTGACATGCACTTTGCATCACCAGTATAACAAGTAGAAAGCCTACATGTAGTGAGAAGGGCTACCTGCTGCTACTGCAGCTACTACTACTACTACTACCAGTATGATTATTACTACTACTACTACTATGATTATTACTACTACCACCAGTCATTACTACCACTACTACTAATACTACTGCTATCATGTCACCACTACCTCCTCAGCCACCACCACTACAAATACAATTGCTACTATCACCATCACAATTATCACTACAACAACTACATACTACTGCCACCACCACAATTGTTACTACAGGCACTAGTATTAAAACCACCAACACAGTTACTACTACTATGCAGCTGGCACGTAAGGCTGACAACCTTACTGCCATATTTGAGCCGACTGTCTAGATAATGTGGGCCCTTCAACGTCTCACAACCTTATGGGCCTTCACAGCCTGTGACAGGGATAGCTTTACTTGCCACCACCACCAAGATTACAACTACTACAACTGATGCTAGTACTACTACCACTATGATACCACTGCCAATATTACTGCCATGACTACTACCATGACAAACATCACCTACCACAGCCATCATGAGGATAACCATCACCACCACTGCCATTCTCATCATGAACAAACTGAAACCACCACGGCTATCATCATAACAACCAACATCATGACTACAGCCACTGTCACTACTGTTGCCACACCCAGCACTGACAACTACCATTCCAACCATTACTGCAACCACCACTGCCACAGTCACCACCACTACAACTATTACTGCCACCTTCTCCTGATGTCAAGAATCAGTTTGGACCAGGTCTGCAGTGGTAGTGACAGATGTCATGTTTTAATACGTATAGGTGTTTCCCAGCTTGCAGACTTATTCTGTTCAAGAAGAGCAGAACAGTGGACCAATACTGAAATATTTTCTGTAATCTACTGTGCACCTAGTTGTGGGAAAATTAATTATTAATTAAAATTGATTAATCTTAATTTATTTTTTGTCATAAACATTATTTAAAATAAGTGTCTATTCTGAAAATATAGTGCCTTCCTGTGTTTCTAAGTACCTGAAATAAATCTTTATAATGAAGAAAGCAGTCTTCTGGGATGTGGCACCATGTAGATGTGGTGTTAACCGACGTTTCAGACGAATGTATCGCCTCCATCTTCAGGGTAGAAGGAAAAATAAGAAATCTGCAAGTGAAGAGACCGTGAGAACCAGTACAACAGACTGGACTGATGTTGGAAATAAACACAGCTATGTGAGAGCAGTGAAGGGAGGGGGGGGGAAGTCTACATGGGAAATCAGTGGTGAGGGAGGGGGGAAGGGGGAAACAGAAGCAGGGTTTTGTATAAGATATTGTGTTGGGGGAGAGAAAGGCAAGGTTAAAGAGAGGGCACTAACCCTTAGGCTGGGGGGTGGGGGGGTTGTTATGTTAGTCGGTCATCGCCTGTGTAGCCTTGTGGATCTGGTGTCATGTCCTGAGGGGGTTCTTTAGGGAACAGTTGAAAGGCTTCCATGACTTGCTGAGACAAAACTCCCCCTCCCTGTTCATATTTTTGGGATGGAGTTCGATCTCAATAGCTTCCCTAATGATGCGATCCATATATCGGGTCTTGGTGGTGAGGATGGAGGTATTCTGAAGCTGAATGCGGTGTCCCAGATCGGTGCTGTGTTCAGCTACGGCTGACTTGTCCGGATGTTTGAGACAGATGTGCCGCTGATGCTCCTTCAACTTCATGTCCATGGAGCGGCCCATCTGCCCAATATAGACCTAGCCACACTCGCATGGGATACTGTATACACTCACTGTCCTTAGTCCTAGGCTATCTTTGACTGGCCAGAGGAAACTGGATATTTTGTTTGGAGGCAGACCCACTGCTTTGATGTTGTTTTGTCTCAACAAGTCATGGAAGCCTTTCAACTGTTCCCTAAAGAATCCCCCGGGACATGATGCCAGATCTGCAAGGCTACACAGGCCAGGACCAACTAACATAGCAACCCCCCACCCCCAGCCTAAGGGTTAGTGCCATCCCTTTAAACTTGCCTTTCTCTCCCCTGACACAATATCTTATACAAAACCCTGCTTCTGTTTCCAGCCCCTTCACCCCTCCCTCTCCACTGATTTCCCATGTAGACTTATGCCCCCCTCCCTTCACTGCTCTCACATTTTTTTTTTAATCATCTCCTCTATTGACAATCAGATACTACAATCCACTGCTCTCACATAGCTGTGGTTATTTCCAACATCAGTCCAGTCTGCTTGTACCGGTTCTCATGGTCTCTTTGCTTGCGAATTTCTTATTTTTCCTTCTACCCTGAAGGTGGAGGCGATACGTTCCTCCGAAACGTCGGTTAACACCACATCTACACGGTGGCACATCCCAGAAGACTGCTTTCTTCATAGTCACTGCCGTGAAAACCTCAAATCTTACAAATCTTTATAACGCTTAAAAATCTGAAGCCTAGTTATCACCAATACGAGCTACTGAAAGAGATTAGTCTTAATTTAGAAAGCTGAACTGAACCACATAGCCAATCACATGTGTTGATAAATACAGATACTGTTGTTCATGTATGCTCTTACCAAAGAGTATGGGTGCAGTTTCATCTCTAGTAACACCTGTGAGAAGTGGGATATTGGGAAATTTCCCACTTTGCAATCCATCTAAAGGGCTTTCTGAAAGGAAGTTTGGCAAGAATCTTCCATCATTAGCCCCTTCAGTGCAGGGAGCAGGTCCTAGTAGACCCGTGATTCCTGCTAGAACTCCCTGAGTAGCAAGTCTCAGTTCCTACAAAATAAAAAAAAGGCAACAGTAGTAGTAGTAGTAGTAGTAGTAGTAGTATAGTATCAGAAACAATTGGAGTAACAGCAACAGTAGTATTTGGAGTAGCAATAGCAGCAGTAGTAGTAACAGTTGTACTGGCAGTAGTAGCAGTAGTGGTAGTGGTAGTGGTAGTACTAAAATGATTTTACTTTATGTTATAATAGTGACAGCAGACATAGTGGACATAGCGTAGAAGACAAAATTAGTAGATATTGTGAACTGTGGCCATTGTAATTTGGATACATAAACCAATCTGGGAAGTGTGGCACTGGTGTAGGGAATAGTGTCAATTTACTTATAGCAGTACACTGTGTATGTGGTAGAAATTACAGCAAAATTTTACATTCAGCGTATCTTTATATATTCTATTAAATTAACACATTTTTAATAAACAGATGATGGAACAAACATGATTTTAAAACCGAAATTTACCATTGATTCCATTATATACCAGCTACTGTTCCTCAATATTTTAGAACAGTCAGGTGTTCTGAATTAAATGGAGACTTATTATTGTTCACTATGTTCCTAGGATGGGAAGAGAATCATGGGATTCAAAATGTTGGCATCGAAGACTCCCAGGGGAATAGAATAGTAGATCAGAGGCAAGTGCTGAAAATTTGGGAAAATTATATTTCAGAACTATATGATCGACCTAATCGGCCAGAAACCTTAGAAGTTGAACCGGAAGAAGAAGTAGATACAGACGAGAAAGGACCATATATTTTACAAAGTGAGGTGGAAAAAGCTATCAAGGAAATGAGGAAGGGAAAGGCTACAGGAGATGATGATGTACCTGGAGATGTGCTCAAGTTACTGGGAGAAGGTGGTTTGAAAACACTGACAAAACTAATGAACACCATATATGAAAGTGGAGAGTGGCCCAAGGACTTTACAGAAGTTACAATGATTGCCTTAAAGAAAAAGACAAAAGCTACAAAATGCAGCGACCATCGCACAATAAGTCTTATTGCACATACAGCAAAGATAATAGCAAAGATACTTAAAAGAAGAATTGAAAGGAAAATAGAGGATGTACTTGGAGAAGATCAGTTTGGATTTAGAAGAGGAAAAGGAACCAGGGATGCAATTGGGATGATGAGAATTATAGCGGAACGAACTTTGGAGATAGATGAAGAACTGTGTGTTTGCTTCATAGACTGGCAGAAGGCATTTGACCGGGTAAACTGGACCAAATTAATGCAGATCCTGAAAGAAACAGGTATCGATTGGCATGAAAGAAGATTGATTAGCAAATTGTACATGGATCAGAAAGTTAGAGTACGACTGGACAGGGGGGAGACAGGAAGTGTGCAGATTGGAAGAGGAGTTCGACAAGGATGCTGTTTATCACCAATTCTGTTCAACTTGTACAGCGAATGCCTTACCAAGGAAGCTCTGGATGGGCTCGGAGACTTCAAAGTAGGAGGGCAAATTATTCAAACTGTGAAATATGCAGATGACCTTGTGTTAATGGCTAAGGAAGAAACTGTGCTACAGGGCATGATTGATAGACTAATTGAAATTGGAAGGTGCTATGGCATGGAAATGAATGTGGAGAAAACAAAAGTAATGAAAATTTCGAGACAACCAACCCCAGTCACAATAAAGATAGACCAAAAACAACTGGAGAATGTGAAATGTTTTAAATATTTGGGTAGCTTGTTAACAGATGATGGAAGGTGTACTTGTGAAATTAAATCCAGGATTGCCATGGCAAAAGCTGCATTTAGCAAGAAGAAGAATCTTTTTACCAGCAAATTGGACTTAAATTTGAGGAAGAAACTAGTGAAATGCTACATTTGGAGCATAGCTCTGTATGGGGCTGAAACGTGGACACTGAGGACAGTAGATCAGAAACATCTGGAAAGTTTCGAAATGTGGTGTTGGAGAAGGATGGAGATCAGTTGGACCGATTATGTGAGAAATGAAGAAGTGTTAACTAGAGTCAGTGAGCAGAGGAATATCCTACACGAAATAAGAAAACGGAAGGCTAATTGGACAGGTCATGTTTTACGCAGAAACTGCCTTTTAAAAGAAGTTATTGAAGGAAAGATAGAGGGGCGGATAGAAGTGACAAGAAGATGTAAGAAGATGCTGGACAGAAGAGGATACTGTCATTTGAAGGAGAAAGCTCTAGATCGCATTAAGTGGAGGAATTGTTTCGGAAGAGACTGTGGACCTGCTGTCTGACAGATTACTGATGATGATGTTACAATCCAGATGGTAGCGGGTTCAAGTCCCGATGAGGTCATTGGATTTTTTTCAGTTCACCTAATCCTTCCAATGGCCCTGAGGTCGACTCGGTCTCTAACAGAAATGAGTATCAGGAATTAATTAAATAATTTTCCTGGGAGTAGATCGCGCCCGGCACATAAGGCTGACAACCTTACCGCCATTGCCTCACAACCCTATGGGCCTTTACGGCCTGTTACAGGGATAGCTTTTACTTTTTTTTACTTACCTGGAGACCAGAGTCAGCTTGAATGAGAGTTGAAACTGATACTTCTTGTAGACACTTGACCATTTCAAGCACAGGATTTTCAGGACAGCCATTTTGTTTTGCTAATTCACGACCAGTTGCAAGAGGATTATGATCAATAGCAAAGGATGAGAGTGCTGATCCACTCATGGCTAGTACTCCACCCAGAATTCCTTCGAAATAATTGTATGGAATTACTGGTATTAAATTTGCAGATTATAAAAATCACATTTTCAAAATATTCAGGTTTACCAGTGGTGAATATGAGATAATTTAGTATTATTCACAAATTCTCAAGAAATATAAATTTTGTTCTCTAATAAAATTTTACCTTTATTTTAAAATACATATATTAAGTAACATACCTCTTCATGTATTTATGTAAGATGGCAGTTATCTACTGTAATCATCAAATTCACATCACTCAAGCTTTAACAGAGCTGTCTATTTCCTTTTTCTCTCTCTGTGGAAAGCAGAGGAATTGAATCGCATGGCAACTGTTTCGTTCTTTTCTTCCAATATGTAGAATAGCTTTTTAATTTAATTTGCATAAAAATTGCAATGAGATTTTCCTTGGTCAATTTTCTATTTATATCGTTTTCATTATCCTGCAAAAGTTTCTGCAATTTTTTTATTTTTGTTTTTGGATATATTGATATAATTTATTTTTGTCTTAGTAAATTTACTTCCTCTTGAGTCACTGCTTTGCAATTAACATGAGGGGCTCTGCAGGTGCTGTAGCATAATATAGTATGAAATACTGTTAACAATTGACATCTGCTATGAGTAATCCTCTAATAAATATTCCTCTGGATTCCCCAGAAGACAGCTAACGTAAGGTTCAGTGATAAATGTGTCACTTCTACTTCCAATGTACTGATGGTTGTCTGGATGTGGATCATTGCAGTTCTTTGTAGTTATTTTTGTGGAGAAGAATAAAATATCATACTAGTTGAATATATACAGGTATCTAACATAACAACATAAAATGTCACTCTGTAGTACATGTATGCAGCCAGGATTTTTCTATGGGGAGGGGGTCAGGTGGGATATTTGCTTGAAAACTTATGTTTAAGCTGTTTAAGAATACTTTAATCTTTCATTCTGGAGTATGCAAGAGAGATTAAACTCTAGACAAAAATAATTACAACTTTGGTATTAATTTTTTATATATTTTCTTAAATTCTTCAGTTGTTTCTTCCATAAATCCAAATTGAGGGGGAAAACAGTGAGCCTGTATGGAGCCAGGTTTGAATATATCCACTCTAGCGCTGGGAGTCACAGGAGGCAACAAGAAGGGAACCCAGTGTCTGGAGTTATAACTGGGCCACCCTGTTCCTGGGGGATATAAATATGGTGACCTGGGACTCTAGGTTGTGAGAGTCTCAAATCTGAGATATAAAATATCTACATTTGCTTTAAATCTGAACCATTCTGGCAGTTCATGACGATGCTTGCCATATTTCTGGTCCATTTGCAGAGGATACTTCCTTACATCACCATGTTTCCCACTTCACACTGCTCTGCTCATGCATGTTTTATTCATACACATTCACTGCTCTTTCTCCTGGAATATTTGAGTGTATCTTTCATCACTGTCAATGATATTCCCTTCCAATTATCTGTTCACATTCAGATATGAACAACAATCTAGAACCAGATATTTATAGGCAGGGATGATTTATAGGATGAAGATATGTAAAATCCTCCAACAAGTGTTTCAATTTACCTTGTGTAAGCTGCGAGAGGGACAGTAGGACTGCACTGCTAGCTCCAGTTCCCTGCCCAAACACAGTGATTTTGTTAGGAGTTCCACCAAAAAACTTTATGTAATCTCTGATCCATTCAAGAGCTAAGGCCATGTCAAACAATCCAATATTGCCTGGTAATTCTTTCACACCAGCACTGATGAAACCTACATTTAAAAGCAGAAATGACTAAATGAATACCTGCACTGTTTCTCTTACTTATTTTATGGTTCACCTGATTGCCAGGGTAATACTACCCCTGCCAAACATCCAGGCACACACAAGCACATATACAAACACACACATGTCCACATGCACATGTTTACAAACACAGGTGCACAGAGAAAATCTTTGCATTTGATTAATATCTTAAAGACTGACTTCTTTCTCTTTTCTGTGCACAGTTTCTCTAATGAAATTCATGTTGGTGGAATCACTGTCCACGCATTTTCAGTGCAGCTAAACTGTTGTATTCACAGTGCACAAAATACAGTTGAACCATATCCTCCATAGTCAACCTTATGCAGGTGAACAATTCTGTCCATTGTGGACAGTGTGCAGCTAAGCTGTTTTCTCCATCATGGACTTCGTACAGATGAGCAGTTTTGTTCATAAGTCAGTATTCAGCTAAACTGATCTGCCCATAATGCACTGAGTCAGTTAAACACTTCTGTCCATATTAAATGGTGTGCAGATGAACTTTTCTCTTCATAAAGCACAATCATCTTTAAAGTGCTGCTAAATGTTTCTGGCCATAATAATGAAAATGTTCATTTCAATTAAAATGTACATATTTCATGTCAGGGCCTAAGTAATCCATGTGGGATGAATGGAAAATTATGGATGATGAGACTAGTTTTACATTCCTGAAAAGCAATATAAGGAAAATACACAAGTTCCTTTTGTGTTATCTTTTAAAATATATGTGTTATGTCATATATTTTCTTAATTTTATCAACCAATAAAATTTGATATAAAAACATGAACAACGTGCCTACTTTTTCTTGGATATAATATGGATATCAGATTTAGTTCAGTGAATATACAGGAAGAACTAGAACATGTATTCAAAAAAATTCCTAAATACCACTTGAAAATTTTGTTAGGAGATTTCAGTGCCAAAGTAGGTAGGGAGAAAATTAAGTATATGTTGCTGTCTCACCACCAAAATGCAGGGAAAAATCATGACATAACGATAGGAAACAGATGTTTTGAAAATGTGGCACAATTCAGATATTTGGGAACGAAGTAAACAAATCAAAACCTGTTTGAGGAGGAAATTAAGAGGAGATGAAATCAGGTAATGCTTGCTACCATTCAGTCCAGAACCTTTTGTCTTCTCGTCTGCTGTCCAAAAACATAAAAATTAGAATATACAAAAATATAATTTTGCCTGTAGTTCTGTATGGGTGTGAAATATGGTCTCTGACATTAAGGGAGGAACATAGACTGAGGGTGTTTGAGAACAGGGTGTTGAGGAGAATATTTGGACTGAAGAGGGATGAAGTGACAGGAGGTTGGAGAAAACTGCAAAATGAGGAGCTTCATAATGTGTACTCATCTCCAAGTATAATTAGAATGATCAAGTCAAGGAGGATGAGGTGGCCAGGGCATGTAGCACGAATGGCGAAGAAGAGGAATGCATTTAGAATATTGGTGGGAAAGCCAGAAGGAAAGAGACCACTGGGAAGACCAAAGAATAGGTGGGTGGACAATTTGAAAATGGATCTTTGAGAGATAGGATGGGATGGTATGGATTTGAATGATCTGGCTCAGGATAGGGACCACTGGAGGGATCTTGTGAACATGGTAATGAATCTTTGGGTTCTGTAAAATGTTGGGAAATTCTTGAGTAGCTGCAGATTTGGCTTCTCCTCAAGAAGGGCTCAGCTCCATAAGTAAATAAGTAAGTCTGTATATACTTTGGTGGTTTAGGAACAATGTCTGATGATGACTGTTTACAGTAAAAATATGTAGCGTATCAAAAAATATAAAAAATAAGCTTGTATGCCAGTGTCATCTTATGATTTAGATCTGTGTATGTCTATGTATCCATCCGTCTGTCTGTCTCTGTCCACATGTCCATCCATCCATCCATCCATCCATCCATCTATCCATCAATTTGTACATGTATACTTTTGTCAGCAATTTGTAATATGTCTCACCAAGGGAGCCAAGTCTGTACTGAATAGTGACCACAACAGTTTTCTTCTTGACAAGATGACGCACACCGTACTGTGACGCTGAGCCCCGCCTATGTCCTCCACCATGGATCCACATCAGAACTGGGAGACCTTCATTGCCATCTGGAAGCTGAGTTGTAACCATTAACAAAGTGACCCATTCTCATTACCACATAAGCTTCTTGAATATTTGTCCAGTAAGATGTTCAGTGCAGAGATATGTGACAGACTTGGCTGTTATGACTTCAATGACAAGCTGTGCTAGATGATTTATACATACCTTAAAGAAATAATAATCTTTAGCCATTTTCCCTATTTTGAAAAAATAAAAGTTAACTTGTGAGATCCCTTTGCTATCTGTGTGTATGTGTATCCTCCCCATTAAATTGAATGGCACAACTAATCCTTATGAAGCTTGGTATGTATATCAAGGCACCAAAGCCCATCTCAAAGGCATAATCCATAAATCCCTCACATAAGTTTTACATTAATGACTTACNTACCCCAATGACCATAGATGATGAAATAAAATTACCAAAGGTGAAAGAAACTAAATTTCTAGGACTAATTATTGATGATACCATCACATGGAAACAGCATATTAACTATGTTATCAATAAAATTGCAAGGTCATGTTATGCGTTGAGAAACATAAAGCATTTTATCCCATTAGATACATTAAAGGTAATTTATTTTGCACACATTCACTCCATTTTAAGCTATGGCATAATTTTCTGGGGTAACGCTTCCTATGCCTGCAATGTCTTTAGACTACAAAAGAAGGCTATGAGAATTATTGCAAATTTTGGTCCAAGAGAATCATGTAGACATCTATTTGAGAAATTCGAAATACTGTCATTCTATTCCCAATTCATATACTCATTGATTTTATTCACGATTAATAATGATCATCTTTTTAATGCTATTACCATGATTCATGAACATAAAACCCGAACCCATAATAATCTATATTTGCCTTCTGTGAACCTGACAAAGTATAGTCAGAGTGCATATGTGGCGGGTATTAAAGCCTTCAACCATTTACCTCAAACTTTAAAAGAGTTGACTTTGGATGTACCAAATTTTAAGAGAGCACTAAAGAGATTTTTACTTCATCACTCCTTTTATTCCATGAAAGAATACTACCAACAGAAATGGGTATAATGTGAAATGTAAGAGAACACACAGATTGTGACGACAAATGAACTGATATAGAAATATGTCATAAACTACAAATTATGTAATTATCCTGTTTTATTTGTCTCTTTTTTATTGATTGTCTCTTTTATATGCATTTTAATTTGACGCACTTGATTAATGGAATGAGTAATGAATGAATGTCTTAATGGAAATTTTAATTTTATTTATTTTAGTCCATTATAAATCTTGATAAATTTCTTGATCATTGTTTAATGTGTATTATAAGTATTATAAGTTTACCTCATTTAATTGCAATATTACTGTATTATTGTATAGCTACTATGTATTCTAACTTGACTTGTTCCATATCCTATGGTGTCTCACCTGTACAGGATTTACGGAATGTAAATAAATTCAATTCAATTCAATTCAATTCAACCAATATTACAGCCCTTAAAATTTCTGAGTCAAAACCTTAATATTTCTTGAATGTCTGTACCAATCTTCATGAAATTTTGTGCACATATGTCATGTCACTAAAGCCATGTCAGTGGTGTATATCATCAGTAATACCAATCATATAACCCTTGAAGTTAGTGAGGTAATACCATTAATATTAGTCAAATGCCTGAACTGATCATCATGAGACATCACATGTGGTAGTAGCAGAGAAAACTATTGAACATGGGCCATACATTAGCAGATAGCATATGGAGGTGGTAAGCAAGACAAGACTATGCACAAAAGTCAAATATCGCAATTGTGTATCAGTATAGCCATACTTCTCATGGTTGTGAATACTGTTCACTTGCTATAAGCCAGAACAAATTCTGTCATAATTTCTATTTGTCAAAAATGAGTGTTTTTAAACAACTATTACTAACATCTTTGCAAATTCAAATTAAAGAGTGATAAATATCGTATCACAGTCAGTTCTTTGCAGATATGGAAGAAAAAATGTCAACTTAAGGGTCAAATTCCTTGCCATATATTAGTAATTTGTAATAATTTCCTCAAATCTAATTTAATTATGAAAAAGCTGTTCAACTGAAATCACAAAATATAGTAACCCTTGTATAATTTAAATTTAATTGCAGAACCTGAACACGCAGATTAAAACATAAAAATGAAAGAAGAGAAATTGGCTTAAACAGGCAGGCCACAAGATGTAAAGATATTATATTCAGGAAAACAGAGTTTCTCCAATTAAATACTAATTAAAACAATATCAGCAAAAATTTTCTGAGATGTGTATGATATAACTACCATCGATATGAAAAAAAAAAGAAAAAAAACACACACACACACAACCTGGACATTCACTGAACAAGCTTCTCCAACAGATAACTGTGAGGTCACATTATAAAGGAAACTATGTTCATATGGAAGAGGAGAAACACATAGGAAAACACAACTGTGATATGATCTCCTTCACTATATGGACAAGCAATCAAGCATGTTTCAACTTCACAAATCATTCCATCTTTTGCAAGTTCATCTTCAGCCTCAATATTCTTTTAGTTTACACTGTACATTCTATTTAGGTATGCTTTCATCCCTTCACTTCCATACAGCAATGCTGGTACTGCTACTCCTTTATAACATCTCAGTTGTGTTTTAAAAGCACAGATTTCTGAGTTGTAACGCTACACTCTGGAAAAAGTCCAATCCACTTGAGCAGATCTGTTTTCTATTTGCTTTCTTACCTGCCTTACATTATGACCCTGAAGATGGGGGTGATATATTCCTCTGAAACTCTGGACTTTTTCAAAAGAACACAAGCATTACAACTCAGAAGATTCCATTCTTCATAGTCACCACTGTGAGAACCTCAAATTCAATTGGTTTTCTTTCCTTGTTTTAATTTTTAAGGTTTTTAAATTATGGCATATTCTGCCATACTTACTAAGTTTGTTATTTAGGTCTTTGTCCTGCTGTATGTGTTATGTCACTTCATAGATAAGTAAAATGAGATACCTGCTCTAATATATTATTATCAATAATTATTTTAACCCTGATGATGAATTTAACTTTGAAAATGTTAACTTTCAATTTTTTTAAATGAGATTTCCATATCATATATTTTATCAATATTGCATAAATTATAAACTGACTGCTGTAACTTAGCTGACTGTCTTGTATTAAAATCTGATAACACAGGTCTGCAACCAAAAAACTGCATAGGATATTTTTACTGTTTCTTATGGATTTTTACTCACTAAAACCGGAAATAATAGCAAAAAAATCCATCATGTCATTTTTTTGCAAAACTCATATATTTTTAGTTTAATTTTGCGTGAAATTTCTCTTCAACATGAAATCTGGTATCCTATTGTTGATTCTAAAAACCATATCCAATAATTATTTCTTACTTTAAAATAATATTTATAAGAGTGACTCTAAAAAATAATACAAATAGAAAATGGGTGGGATGGGGGGGCAGTGGAAGGGGTTGGTAGGGTGGGTTTGGCGGTGTGAGGAGCTCAGGTGATCATGTCCCAACACGTTTACTTTGTTTGTAGCGAAAGGTGAGGAATCTTACTAGCTCGGTTGAGCATGTTTGGACATGTTCTTTCGGGCAATAGGAATGAGTATAAACAAGCCTGCTGTCAGATTTGATCATGTCTCAACATGCTAAATAAGTTCATGATCTTGGTTGATGCATAAGCCACTCAGTTTACATCCTGCATTCAAACATGACTGTGCTTGTGTTTTAGCTCTGTATTATGGCTTAAAGAGGTTGTGTTATTTCTCCGGACAAGTTTTGTTTTGTTATATTTTAGCGTCCTGTTGCACTGATTTAAGTCCATGATTTATTTCAACCATCTTCCAGTGCATACACTCATCTATCTCCTCCTCTCACTCGCACTACATGTTTTGGCACAAAAGTGCCATCTTCAGGTGCTTATTCGATTTACGCTAAACTAGTTCATTGCATGCCTTGTCATCTTCATATTAAAATAACTGAAATATATATTTATCATATATACTGATGAATGTTAAGAGTTAAAAATATTAAACTTGTTCAGGATTTTCCATCCCTACGTCATATCTCACTACGCGAGTCACACCTATCCTCTTCTGTTGGAGCACTCTTTCACTATCGTGTGTGTATTGTGCTTTGTGTTGTGTCTTGCTCCTGTGACTGCGTGTGTTATACTGTGTGTGTTGAGCAGTATAAC